TCAGATTGGTCATCACTGGATAGAAGGAAATGCAAGGAAGAAATACAGTCAGATTGGTCATCACTGGATTGCAGGAAATGCAAGGCAAGAGTGTTCTTCACGTGGTTAAAGAGCAGGCTGGCAATAAAGACATAAAGAGTTCCAGAAACTTAAAGGCTTTGGTTTATGTGGAAGTGTAGTTTGATAGACATAAAATGGGAACACAATCTGAGGGGCACTTAGAAGCTGTGGTAATGGCCTGTAAACAAGAATGAGCAAAATCACCTAATAAACCCAGAACTTACACTGTAATGAGCCACAGGGCACATAAAAGCACTAACAAGAAGGAAGCACAGCAAGACAGAGTTTAGTAACAAATTCTAAATAAAATAATACTTCCCCAGATAAGATGCAGATTCCGTGTTGTTGAAATGCAGTCATCATGCTACCAAAAGCACTTTGAGGATGAGCGATGTTTACTATTTTATGACTCAAACTGTGAGCAAGGAAAGACCCAGACAACGCAGAAGCCCGAGTTCATCTCAGCCTTTAGAGTAACCACAAGGGACGGCTAATAGCTCACTCCTAGAGATGCGAACATGGACTTTCCCTTTTAATCAGATAGCTTTCATCACCAGACAGCCATTTTGGCTTTTTTAAAAAAATGAAGTGAGGAAAGCAAGAAGGCCCAGTGGGTAATGGTGTTTGTTGCTAAGACTGATGATCTGAGTTCAAGTCCTGGGACCTACATGGTGGGAGGGGAGAACTGGCTCCTGCACATTGTTATATGGTCTCCACACCCACGCCAGCATGTGAGCAAGGCCATTTCTAATACAAGACTTAGACACCTTAGGATAAAATAATTATTGAAATATTTAGCATATGTTTCTTGCTTAAACTTAATATTATTCATACTGTTGGTAATTCTAATTTTTATACTTGATATGTGTTTTATTGTATATAGTTTTGTGTTGGTTTGGAACTCTCTTATTTAGACAAAAGGAGGAGGTGCTGGGAAAACTCCTTCAGCCAATGGCCTTTGAGATGCTAGACCAGGTTGGGTGTAGCTTTGGGTACTCTCTCTCTTTCTATCCCCCACCCCCTCTTGGCTGCTGGATTCGGTTCCCCACTCATGCAGAGGACTGTGATCTGTGAGTCTACCCCTAAATAAAGAACCCTTTATTGAACTCAATTTGGAACGAGTGTGGGACTACTTTATAGTGTCCTTCTACACTTGTGGACATGCCTGATTCTTCAGGAGAGCTTCCTGTGGAGGCAATAATGTTGGGTCAAAGGAGATCTATATTTTGAGTGTGAAGGGTTTTTTATAGACTACTGTGATTCAAAAGCTGCCCCTTGTGTCATATTTATTCTCAACTCTTTTTTCTGCCAACATTTTCTTGAGGGGAGCATTGCCAAGATTTTCTATGTGATAAACAAAGTTTTCTGTAGCTATATTCATTTATAATTCCAGTGGGAACTGGCATTTGGTTCTATTTCTGGGTGATCCCTCTTCATTCCTCTCCTTCTTGTTCAATGTGTCCTTTGTTCATGGCTACTAAACATTAAATGTCATTTAAACACATCTTTGTGTAAGTCACAAAGGACTACATAGTAATTCTCCCATTATATAACCAAATTGAGGCTCTAATTATTAAATGACTGCCCCCAGTTCCAGATAGCTAGCTCTAGTCGGCGATAGATCTGGTGTTTACAGCCAGGTCTCCTATTTTTTTTGAACCCTGATTTGAGCTGTGTTGGGGTTATATATGCACATGGCCCCTCCGTCCTATGCATAGCGGGCTCCAGTCATTTCTGTACCTGTAGGGCAGCAGTCTTGACTCCTCTGTCAATCCATGTGCTTCCTGTACCGTGGCATGGACTTCCCAGGTTGGGAATAATCTGGCTTCTATTGTCAGAGAACAGTCATTGATGAAATGTGGTTTCCCTTCCAGACTGTGCTGCAACATGGGGATCCTCCAATCAATACTGGTGTGCAAAATACTTTCTGGGTAGCAACTGCCAACTTGGATTGACCAGATCACCATCCTGGCTAACACCCGAGACAGTCCACTAAGATAAATATTTCCTATTCCATGGTAGAAAAGCGTTTTCTGAGATCCGTTTTGAAGTTGTCAGTCCATGAGTGGTTGATTTCATGGCTGTGGAGCCCGTGACCTGATGCTCATCACAGCAGAAGCATGTGGTAGATGAAGCCCGTCATGCCTACTGCAGATTCTAAAGGAAGAGCCTGGAGTCCCAGTCCCCTTGATGGTGCACCCTCTGACTTAGACCCGCTAACAGCTCCACTTACTGAAGGTCCTGCCCCCTCTCAGTATCACCAAGCAGAGGACCCAGCAAGCAGTTGACATGTCTGCCTCTGAGGGACACTACAGGTCAAAAATGCAACTGCTTTGGAAATTAATTCCAAAGTGCAGAGAGAAAGAACTGATGGATACAGTGGCCTGGCACTGATGCTAGCTAGCTACCCCTGCCTCAGGTGACCTTGGGCGATAAGGGTGTGGCTTTCCAGGACTGTACGTCCTGTGTCCTGAGTTAGAGGCAATGGCTGAAGTTGGATGTCTCCCTACCCAGTTTAGTTCAGTGATTCAAACGACGATAGATTCAGAAATTCCCAGTGGATGATGGGGTGTGTCACTTTAGTTCCTAACATTACAGTCCTTGCAGGTAGCATTTACATCGAGTTAAGAACTGTAAACCAGGAACTGGGACTTCTGGTTGTTTTACAATGAAAAACAAAACAAAGGCAAACAAACAACAACAAACCCCACTAATATCCACACGTGGGCCATCATGGATGCCTGACAGGCCACTGGCAGACAACAGTGAACCCAGCTTTCTATGACATAACACTTCCTAGGCCTTTTTCCTTGGGTAGAGGAAGTTTCCAAAAATGGGCTCTTTGAAGCAGTGAAAATTGTTATGGCAATTTAAAATGGCATTTTTAAAAGCACTGCACTCAAAATTGGCACTATTAGAGATGGCTAAGGATCGTGCTGGGTTGCTTCCCTGTCTTAGGATGTGGCTGACTGAGGAAGCTAAATCAGGTCAGACTGACCTGACAGGTTTCACTGTTCTTGGAAGTTGCCTCATACAGGAAAGAAAAAAAAAAAAAAAAAAAAAAAAAAAAAGGCTCTTTATGCTGAGAATTACGGACATCCCAGGGACACGGGTACTTTCTTGCTTTAATGTTTACATAAGGATATTGTGAAAGGTTTCCTGGTTTTCTTTTCTCCTTCAGAAGCACCTAAGATTGTCCGTGGCCCTGGTTCTATGGCCAAGGCATATGAAGAGCTGACACAGGGCATCAGAAGAGTTAAATGTACAGGTAGAACTTCCAAGTGACAGTAAGTGACTGCCCTGTGTCCCATGTCACCTGGGACGCTTGGTTCCATGTCAACATAGTCATGTTTTATCTGTTTACAGAAAATAAATTACAGCAACTCTAGGGAAATTTCTCTCAGTAGCACAGGGAGGCCATTTGCAATGAGTCGAAGGATTTAGAACAAAAGCTGGAATTCTACAAAGAACTCCAGAGTGAAAAGCTCAACCCCCACTCTGGCCTGCTGCCCTGACACACCAGCCCCACAACTGCCTGAGGGAATTCTTTCTAACCTCTTAACATATGCCTTGATTGCAATGTTTCTCTGGATTCCTGACAGATTCCTCACCCCCACCCCACAGTGGTGAGAAACTTTTCACAGGGTCGTATCCCCAGTCAACAATGGAGCCCGGGACATGAGTTATGTTTTATGTGTCTTTGTCACATCTGACTCCAGCAGAGCACTTCCCCACACTCGTAATCGATGGCTGCTCTGCCACTGAGGAACCGACTGAGTCTCGGTGACTGCTAGCCAAACAGCAAGTGAAGCCAGGTGAGGATAATGAAGAGTCAGAAAAGTGGGAGGAACCCATGCAGAGCGGAGGTGGGCAGCAGGCCACTCAACGCCTATGGAACCCGATGGAGTGGAGCTGGGAAGCAGGCTGTCGGATGCCTATGGAAGCCAGAAGAATAGACGGTCAGAAAATCCAAAGACCTTGAGAGGTAAGCAAGAGCTTGAAGTTTAACACCAAAAACAAAAAGGAAGGCCAGGTCACGAGTCTAGGTTACGTGTCTTGCACACGCTCTTAACACTCTGGCCATCAGAGCCGCTCCTCATCCTGTTCTCCAACACGAGTCTTGGGCACAGAACTCAGAGAACCCAGGAACACAAATCTAGAAGGCTGGGAACCGAAATGCTCACTATCTGCCTTTCATGGAGGACAGCCCCTGGGGATCTGGGCCCTGGTTAGTGATGCTGATGATCCAGAACTTGGGACAGGACTAGCACCAGAATTAGAGACTCACGCGGAAACACACCTGGTGCCGCAGTGCCTTAACCTGGCAGGTCACTCTAAGTGTGGCTAGTTTTGCCCTCACAAGTGTATTAGCTCATTCACAGTTCTGCAAACAGATCAAGCTGCTCACACAAGCATCATCCCTTTTTCTTTTTGCATGAACAAAGAACCCTCCATTTTAGGAAGCGCAGAAAATACTACTCTGAGGATCCAAAACCCTGTCTTTCTGAAACTCTGCTGAATGCTATTTGATAGGACAGATAATTAGTAAGATAAGATAATAAGGTGGCTGAGCATAGACCATGCTAATGGCTAAAACACATTGGTCACAGCACATACGTCAATGGCCACATCCCCCAATTTGAACAGTGATGTCTGTTCACGACTTAGCAGGGTTCGACATTCAGACAGCAGAGTGGTGTTCAACAGAACAAATGAAACAGGACAGTCATCCACATAGTGTACCAAAAGTCAGGGTGATACGTTCATGTGGAAAACACCAAGCCCAAAGTGAATGAGGGAACCTCATCTCCTTGGATGTAATACTGGTGTGAGATTTTTAATCTAAGAATCGCAGCGTAGAACAGGCCTACTAAGCAACCACAAGGTCGGGAGCGATGCGGAAATGAGGCTTATGCCCCACGAAGGAGACAGGCACAGGCTTCAGTGTTCTACAGAATTTATTCCAGGTTACAAAACCATGAGAACTAAAGCAGACCTTGCCCATGTGCGAAATGTGTGAACTTACAATCTTAGATGAAATTATGTCAAATTATGTGACTCGTGTCACATGCTCAGGAAGCCCTAAAGAACCATGAGGCATTTAATGGAGGACCACACTGAACACCACAGACCTAGATAAGGTTGCTGACCTCCCGGAACATGGCTGCTGACCAGCGCTCAGTGAAGTTGTCAGCATTTTCGGGAATGTGAGGAAAAGAGACTGACAGCTTCCCCAGCCGTTACTCATGTTCGCCCTTCCCAGAGGCTGAGAGGATGTTAGTTTTAGAAGTATGTTTTTCAGCCCAGAAAGCCTGCAAAGTCCAAGACAGTCACAGCCGATCAGAGGACCGGTGACTCTTAATAAAGGTAGGTAGGCTTGGAAGCCCAAGCAGATCAATAGTCTTATTTTGAATTGGTACATTTTAGGCAAAGGCATGAAGTTACGGAATTAAGAAGTTCTGAAGTGAAGTTGTGTGGTAGTCCAGGACTATTATCCCGGCACTGGGAAAGTTGAGACAGAAGGATTACCATGAGTTCAATGCCAGCATGAACTGCAGAGCAAGATTCTGTCTCAAAATGAAATAAAATAGAAACACTAAACCAAACAAAGAAAACAAAGAGAGAAGCAAAAACAGTTTTGCATGCTAACACCACGCAAGACTACACACTGCTGTCTGCTACGGCGTTACTCCACTGTCTACTCCCTAAATTAGTGTTTTTAATACATGAAACTCAATGAAATGAATACTGATTAAAGATGGTATCAGAAAGACTTGGGGGCGAAGGTGTCACAGTGGCACAGGGCATCCCAGAAAGAGTTGGTCATCATAAGAGAAGAATCATTTTCCCGGTCTTCCCACTGCTATGGATGATGTCTTCATGGGCCTGGACCACTTTCTCCAAAGGGTACTCAGAACCTATCACGGGTTTCACCCAACCATTTTCTATTCCTGTTTGGACGATGCCTGCAAACTGCTGAAGTTCCTCCTAGTGGAGAGAGAAAAAAAATTTAAAGTGTGTTTTATTGTCATTTGTTTCTCAGCAAGAACACAGGACTTGCATTTGGTAAAATTAAGGAACCTCAATATCTAGAGCCATTCCAGAAAAGTCCTTTTGCAAATGTGCAGGATTTGGCACTTTGCCCAGAACTACCTTTTAATTCTCTGTCAATCACACATCCTGGGACAGTGTTAGTACATGAAATGGTGTCGTGAAATAGCTATGACTAGTATGCCCTCTCCCAAACACAGACTAAATTATATACCATCTAGTGACTGACTGGTATCTACCGCTCTAGTCGGGTCACCAAGTTCAACAACCGCTTTTACCGTCAACCTGCCGATAGACACATTTCCCAGTGTTTAAGCTGGCAACATCAGAACCACGTCCACCTGTACCTTGGTGGATGAAAAGAGAGAAACTCCAATTATGCTTGTCTCCTTTGCCATGGTGTCCCTTGGGTTTATCTCAATAGTGCCTCGACAGCCAACAACCTGTCGAGAAAACATCAGGCCCACAGTGACGATTACTGTGAATGGGGCCAACGGCAGGAAACTCAAAGCGATGAGGAACAGTACTTACGATTATCCGCCCTCCACGGGACAGGAGCTTCAAGTCGTTACTCAGGTTCACATTCGCCAGCATCTCAATAACCACATCAACCCCCTCATCACCAACAGCTTTCTGCACAGTAAAAGGAAGAAGATAAAGGTGAGCTGCTATGAAACCGCTTCTCCGGCAGCGTGTTCCACAGAAATATGCCTTTGAGATGGCATGCAAATGCTACGTTTTTAAGACTAACAATGCCTGCTTTAGAATGATCTAATTACAAGGCAATGATACTGCAGCCGCCCTGTGCAGTGTGAAGACTAAGAAGCCCCAGATAAATGGCCATAATGAGATGAAATCTGATGAATTCTTTGTGTGTGTGTAGTCAGCATGAATATAAAATACTTGGCTGTGGCATAATGCTCTTGTACACTGTAAAGATTTGTCACTCATACTGGTTTAATGAAATGCTGACTGGCCAGTAGCCAGGCAGGAAGTATAGGAGAGGTAGCCAGACTAAGAGAATTCTGGGAAGAGGAAAGGCAGAGAGTCAGTCAGTCACCAGCCAGATGAAGAGGAAGCAGGATGAAAATGCACCACTGAGAGAAGGTACTAAGTCACGTGGCTAAACACAGACCAGAATTATGAGTTAATTTGAGTTGTAAGAGATAGCTAACAATAAGCCTGAGCTAATAGACCTGTTTATAATTAATATAAGCCTCTGTGCATTTCTTTGGGAATGAACAGCTGCAGGACAGGGTAGGACAGAAACTTCTATTTACAATACTTTTTTCTTAGTTAAAATCTTCCTATCATGAAAAATGTTTACAGAGGGTAAACAATAAATCAAAGCTTCCTAAACCCTAGGGGTCTCCCATTTTTAACAAAACAAACTAACAAACAAAAAGAAGTAAACAAGTAAGTACTAGCTACTTGGCCTTCCAGGGTGTGTGTGTGTGTGTGTGTGTGTGTGTGTATGCACACATGCATATTTATATATTTGTGTGTGCAAATATGTATGTATAAGTGGATACCTGTGCATCTGGGCCGAGGAGGGGCTGTAGTATGTTTCTGTGGGTGGAGTATGTATTCAATGTTGCACTAAGTGGTTTATCACTTGCTTGCTATACTAATTCTCTTTGTCTGCACTGTAGGGTATTGGTTCTTCATGTTTAAAATGGTTCTTGGAGAACCAGCAATATTATAGTTAGTTATCTTATATTACATTTGTTTTGTTTTGTTTTTACAGAAATGAATACTTAAATCAAGCATGGGGTAGAGTGCAAAGAATGGATGTAACACACTTAAAGCCAGGGGTTGGGGAAGAGAATACCGCAAGCACAGCTCTTATGTAAGGCTTGAGTACAGGGTTAGCAGACCTAAGCCACGAGTCACAGAATGAAAAAGTTGGAGTTGAATTGCTTACACTGGTCAGAGAAAGTGGCCCAGAGGATGAAAGGGAGATTCCTAAACACAAAAAGGAAGGTGAGGGAAAGCTACACCCGAGGCCTTTGGGGAGGCTTCAGCCTCCTCAGCCACAGCTTTGTAGGAGAGGGCAATGCAAACTGTTCCAGACTGAGCATCTGAACTGCATGCCACAGAAAGGGCTATGCGTTTTTCTTTGTTTTATTTTTGGGTGTTCATAGTTCAATGTTTTAAATACTAGAAGCTCCATAAGAACAGGGGGGGCCAAAATTCATCTTTGAACAGCAATTTATTCTAGTTATTTCTTCATACTTTTAAAGGAACAAATGTCTCTGGGAGCAGTAGAAGACAGAGGGGCTCTGAGCTCAGTTACAAGTATCAAGGCTGAGGAACAGAGGCTTAAGCAGCAGGTGACAAGGACTTGGCAGAGCTTATAGGGGCAAAACTGGCAGAGTAACCTGGGAAACCTGGAGGGCAGCAGGAAGAATGTGATTTAAAACGGGCATAATCAGGGCTGGTCAGGGAGATGGCTAGGGTGGACCGTGGGCTACACAGGCTTCTTCAGATCCATCTCCATGGGGGAAACAAAAGCTGTAACCCCAGAGTTGGAGACAGAGATGTATAGACCCCAGTTTCACTGGCCAGCCAGTCTACAGGACATGGTGAGCTTTGGGTCCACTGCAGCCTGTGCCAGATTATAAGGTGAAGGTCAGCAGAGGCCCAAAGGAATAGAACTCAGCAGAGACAACAGAGGGCATTCAGACACACAGTGTAAAAGGGTAGTAGTTAAAATAACTTAAGTAAATCAAGAAACAATGTTTGACTTATGTAAAACTGTAGAAAACTTTACCTTGATTTTATCAATATAATTAACTTCTTTGTGATCAAACACTTCATGAGCGCCATTTTGCAGAACAAGCTTTTTTCCTTCCTCAGAACCAGCAGTGCCCAAAACCTTTAAGCCATGCGCTCTGGCAACCTGGCATGTAGCCAATCCAACCTGGAAAAGAGAACACAAGCCTGACGTTACATAGTCTCTGTGTTCCTGAAAAGCCTTCGATGACTCAGAAGTTAAGAGCATTGACTACTTTTCCAGTGATCCTGAGGTCAGTTCCAGGAACCACACGGTGGCTCACAACCATCTACAGTGAGATCTGATGTTCTCTTGTGGCATGTCAGCAAAACATACAGACAGCACACTGTATACATAATACAAAAAAAATTTTAAAATGAAGAAGCTATGATCAGGAAGGCCAACAGGGTTGGGCAAGATAGAAAAAATAACTACTACAAAAATGAGAGAAACTCACTAGAGCAGGAGAAATTCTACCCTCCTGAGCTGAAACAGGTTGAAAGACCATAAGGTCCGTGAGGTGGACGAGGTTATGCCAGTCAGGCTATGGCAGGGATTCTATACTCTAACAGAGACAAGAACGCAGGACTCCACTAACGGAGAAGACAGCCAGCCCACTAGGCGAAAACCGCACTAAGGGGTCATCACCATCCACGCCAATGATTGAAGTTTTCTATTAACACTCTGACTCTAATAAAATCCCATTTTAGAGCAGACTTGATGCAAACAGTTAGACCCACAATATTTTCCAGGAGATTATGTGCCATTATTTGCCAGCTATTTATCTCCAACTTACTTTGCTAGCAGTAAAAGGAGGCATTCCCCACCAACACACTAGGACGATGGCTGTGTTTGTAAATCCACGTCATCTTAAACCCGCACATAATCCCGCAGGAACGGGAATTAAGTGAGAACAGAGAGTACAGACAGAAGCCAGAGAAAGCCAGGGCTCTGTGTCCCTCAGAGAGGGCAGGAGGATCACAGGTGCTTCACACAGCGGGCTGTCAGCCGGCCCGGCCAGCCAGGATTTAGCAGGCTCAACCAGCTCCGAAAACCAAGTTTCGATTTTACCTTTTAAAAAAGCAAACCAATCCCTCGGAAGCGAGGGTGAAGGGAATAAAGAGATTTCCTTTAAACTCCTCTCTCTGCACTGAACCAAAATCTCTCCTCTCTACAGAGCGCCAGGCTCTCAACACATGTGCTTTTCAAACCTTCGGTTATTATGTTAAATTTAAACTTCATCAGACCAGCCTTTGGTGACTGTAATCAGTGAGCGCAGCTGGTGTCTCCTCAAGCCACAGAGACACCTTGGGCTTTTTGATTAATCGTCTAATCTGTGAAGTCCCGAGGACTGATTTCTTTGAGGCATTCAGGAAGCTGGAGACGAAACAGGAAGTTCATCTCTAAAGAGTCACAGAGTGCCCTGACTTCGTGAGTTACCTGGCACTTTGAGAGGCCGGTCATGTTGTCAGGGCACCACCATCGCCACACGGGGCATGCCGTGCCCATGAGCTACCCAGAGCCCCCAGTACTGGGGGTTGACAAGCTCCCTGAAGGTGAGCCATTGCGTCCCAGGTCCTGGGTTTTAACGACGTGAAATCTTCTCGCCAACATTTCCAAAGTCTCTGTGCTAGTTACCAAATCCCAAATGCACGGCTCTGCTTTTCCCTCCCTGCTCCTTGGAGACAGGCTGCAGGAAGCTCGCTGAGGAGGCCTCAACAGTGCAGTGCTTGGTGATTTCCTACAGGGGCTGAGGTCCTAGGTTCTGAATCTTTGCCCCACTAGACGCTAACATTTGAAGCCTTGGATTGTGGAGTTGAGGACACGGTTATATACCACACACTCCTTGGATGTCATCACAGTGTGTGTTGTGTTGAGGGGAGGGGCTAGACAGAAGAGAAGTTCACCACCGCCCACCACGTTAATTTTTTTATCAGGTGTCCTGCTGAATTTATTAAGCAAGAACCGCTACAGCATCAGCCATGGATTCACTCGGGGACTGCATCTCAAGATGCTTCGCAGCCCGAAAGGCCCAGGAGTGGGAGCATGACTATAAATTTGGCTCTTCAAAGTGACTTTACTGTGTACAATGTCAGCTTCCAGCACAGAGAGAGGAGAGGTGCACCAGGCCTTGTTCCAGCTGAGGAGCTACTGGCAGCTGATGATGGCCGGGGGAGGAAGGAACAGTTTTCTGCAGTGTGTGGTCCTCCTTGGCCCACTGTATTCCTGCAGATGGCTTCTCATCTAGATACCACTGACTCTGGACCCAATGGGTTATTTTTAAAAGAAGAAGAAGAAGAGGACATGAAGTTGGGAAAGTCAAACCCACTGAGTGCAATGTATGAAACGCTCAAAGAATAACTTTTTAAAATTTAAAGAGTAAAAAGGTAGAGATTTCATGAACTATTACATGAGACCCGTAACTCCATGCTCACTTAAACAGACTTAGAAAGACAGATACTTACTCCTCCGCTGGCCCCGTGAACCAGGACGCTTTCCCCAGCTCGCACACGGGCACTGTGGAACAAAGCAGAGGTGCATTCATTACTCTCTCCTTCGAGGCTAACCAAGAGCCGGTGTTTTCCATCATCACTGAGGAATTTCTACCCTTGCTCCAGCCAACACGCAGAGAGCTACTGCATCCTGACATGGAGTCAAACGTCCTCTAACTCAGGGCTCAAAAGGATGGTCCCCAGAGTCAGAATGAAGAGTTCTTCTGTGCAGTACCCGCTCAAGAGATGCCACTGGGAATCTGCGTCCTGCCTCTGTCCATGTTGGATGCAGAAATCACACTGCAGTTCTTAGGCTACAGTCTGTGATGTTGGTGGAACTTCTGAACCAGAAGAACTAGAGTCCCTCGTGCCCAGGTGTCCCCACAGAGAGTGTCCCAAGACAAGCGTTCTACAGCTCAGTCTTTATCCTGGGGTCCAGGGTTACCCTGGTAATAGCAGGTAGGCTGCTTCTGGCAGTGCTAAGAAAATGCCCTTGCCTCTCCACACCTCTGAAAATCTTGTGAAATGCCCAGGCTTTGTGCCTGTGCCGTGTAACTATGCTCTTTTAAACACCGACAGGCACCGTCACTGTATAAACCATGTATTCACGCTGTTTACTTGTTAACTCTTGTGGCTTTTAATAACTCAACCCCAGTCGAGCTGCGTTCTGGATCTCACCCTTCATGAAGAATACCCAGCACCCCATGTCCGGCGTTCCCTTACTTTCATCCACTGTCTTCCATGTTCAACGGGAATAACCGAAGAAGTACCAGACACCGGGGCCGCTGCTGCAGCAGTGACCACCCCCTTGGCTGCTTCTTCTATTTAGAGCTCTTATTACCTTTGCCTGGTTCCATCTCACCACCAGAGAGTCTTGGATTGATCAGAAAACTTGACTCTCTTGAAATATTTGTCCATTGTATGTGGTGATTTGAAAAACTATGGCTCCCAAAGGGAGAGGCAGTATGAGGAGGTGCGGCCTTGTTGGAGGAAGTGTGTCACGGTGGGGTTGGGCTCTGAGGTCTCTTTTGTTTAAGCAGCCCTCGGTGTGACAGTCAGTCACTTCCTGTTGCCTGGGAAATGTAGACTCTTAGCCGCAGCACCATGCCTGCCTGCTGCCATGCCCTCTGTCTTAGTGACAGTGGACTAATGCTCTGAAACCATAGCAAACTCCCAACCACATGCTTCCCTGTGTAAGAGTTGCCATGGTCATCGTGGTTCTTCCCAGCAATAGCACAATGACTAAGACACAGAAAGATACCTCAGGATCTTGTAACATGTCCCTCCTGATTCCCAGGTTTTGAGAAAATCATCTCCATTCAAGGGATTAATTCCTTCTTTCTTCCTCAAAATGATCAAACTCCTGCCCTCTCCATAACTGTCATGACCCCAGATAGGTTTTATGGCGAATGACAAGCAGCCGCGGTACCGGCAGCAAACAGGTGGGGAGAGCTGCCCGCCTGGGCTGTGAGCAGCAGCGCCCCTCACCTGTGGAACAGAGCCCTGCAGGCTGTAAAGTACGGGATCGCAAGTGCAGCGCCCTGCTTGAAGTCCAGCGTCTCGGGCAGGGTGTAGACAGTGTGATCCGCTGCCAGAGCGAACTCTGCATAACCGCCAGAAACTGTGCTGGAGCAGAAGACCCGGTCCCCTTTCTGAAAAAGAGATCAACGAGAGTCTCAGCCGTGATTCCTATTAGGACAAGAAGGACGAGACTTTTACAATGACAACCTTACAGGAAGACAAGAAATACTCATTTACATATGGGTGTCTCCCACTCGGCATCTCGAATGCAACTGAAACACTGAACGTCTATGCATGATTTCTAAGTGGGAACTTATAAAAGGAAGCATTAAAGGAGGCAGGGGAACAGGACTGTAGTTCTGCTGAGCACTTACTAAGCTGGGCGCCGTGGCCTCCTACATAACCACCACAGTGACCTAGGGAACACGCGCACTCCATCATTGCCGACAGATGAGGAAACTGGAGTGCCCTTAAGTTCCATAGTTTCTTCCAATTAAGATTGAAATAGCAGAGAGAGAGAGACAGAGCAGACTCCAGTTCCTCTCACAGCAAGAAGCAAGGCCCCCTGGTAATGGCTACCTGCTACACCCTGGCCATAGAAAGGCACACACTTTTGCTAACAAGTCCCATGTGCCTAGAGAAATGGCTGGCCACAAGAATACCTGGCCTACATCTTTAGGGGAAAAAAAGAAAGAGAGAGAGAGGAAGGGAGGAAGGAAGAAAGGAAGGTAGACCCTAGAATAAACTACTGTGCAATGATGGCCTCCGTATACTCAACTGGCCCCATAATAAAGAGATGAAAAGCCAACAGCACTGTGCTGCAGGGTGGATGTGAAAAGGCTTTGGAGGAAAACTGAGCACCAAAGGCCAGTGTGAGCATGGGGGCGGTGTTGTCTGGGAATGAGCAAGGAGGACCAAGTAGATGAGCCCCACTTTATGACTTGAAAACGCGCCCTATTGACATCTGTGTTGTTCGGACTTGAAGAACAACTGCTTTGGAGTCCTGTGGGGGTTATCTATGACAGCGCATGGTCCCAGATCTCAAGCAGGCTCACGTCTAAGAGGAGGGGAAGGAAAGGGAGACAGGCAATGGCAGAGCAAGAAAACATGGGAGGCAGGTCTGGGTGGGACTGAGAGGGTACCAGAATTAAGGTGGCATTCACAGAGCAACGACGGCAAACGAGGATGCCTGGAGGAAGGGCAAGCAGTACAGGGGCACTGCAGAACCCAGAGTAAAGGCTGGGCTTGGCTTTTGCTGTCTAAGAAAACGTTAAGCGACTGAAAGTGTCAAATGTCATTGGGAAGTTATGATAATGACATAGAAGGGCCCGCTGACTCCAGGACTACTGGCATTAGCAAGAAAGCTTTAGAGACACTATGGGGGCAGATACCACATTGCCACAAGCCGAGAAGTGGAAAGCTGCAGGGATCTGCCCACTTCCTGCACAGGACCACGCTAAGTTTCTCCAGTGAAGCCCCATTTTGGTGACTATGCTGCCAGAGCTGAGCACAGGAGTCAAGGAAGTAGGAGGGAAGAGGGTGGGCGTAAGCATCCTCCAAAAACACGATCCATGCTGGGCAAGTCTTTCGGCAGAACAGTAACGACAGCCATGACCACAGCCCTGATCTCAACTCTGACACGGCAGAGAGACACTGCACATGCAGGATAAATAAAACATGGAGTTTTATTTATCCTCCAAAAGAGCTAGCCTTTCTTCTACTTTGTGAAAAGAAATTAAACAGTGTGAGAAGGGCTGGGATATCTGATACCCCCTGTGTGTTCTGTCTGTGTGAGAAGGGTTGGGGCCGTCTGACATCCCTGTGTTTTCTCTCTCACAAGTTTCTATTAGACTAAACAGACCACAGCTCATCCACCGAGTCATGACGACACTGAAATTACCCACTATTGATTCCCAGCTGTGCTGACAAGCAAGGCCTCTGGATACGAAATACTTTCTTTTTGGCTAGGAGTCCCCCAACTAGCAGAAACTGTGCAATCAATACCTTTGAAAGCCTTTAAAGCTATAATTAAATTTCGGAAGAATGCTCCTAAGTCAAAATAGAAATCATCAAAAATGGAATACCTTGAAAGCAGATACACTGTCTCCAACAGACTCGATGACCCCGGCCACATCGGTGCCTGGAGTGTAGGGCAACGCGGGTATTCGGCTGTAGGTGCCAGAGCGAATGTAGGTCTCTACAGGGTTGATACCACAGGCATGGACTTTGATTAGAACCTGTAAGACAATACAATTCAGGTCACACAGAGCATTGTGGCACTGCCTAACAATGATGCTTAACCTTACAATGATGTCATTATCCTTATAAGGATAATGACAGAGCTAGAAAAACTGAGGAATATTAAAAAAAAAAAAAAAAAGCAAGACCCAACAAGCCTGTGCCTTCAACAAGTCTGCATTCTAAGTCTACATTAAGAAGTAAGGTAGACTGGCTTACACGCTATTCAAAACTCTCAGGAAACAATAAAAGATGCTCAGAGAGGTGTGTTTCAGCGAACTCCATGTGTCCCCAAGATATGTATGAGGAACACTACACCATGTGCCAGCTGGTTGTTATGCCAACTTGGCACACACTGTGGTCACCTGAGAGCGGGGAACACCAACCGGGAAACTGTTTCCACACGGTCTGACTGGAGACCAGCCCGGAAGGTAGTCTCTTAAACAGTGATGTGGGAGCTCAGCCCATTTTGGTGGTGCCATTCCTAAGCAGGTGGCCCTGAGTGCCATAGGAAAGCAAGAAGAGAAAGCCATGAAGAGCAAGCGAGGAAGCAGCACCCTCCATGGTCTCTACACCAGCCTCCATCTTGAGGCTCCTGCCCTCTGCTCGCATTTCTGACCTCACTGCTTGGGTGAGCTGTGATATGGTACAGGGAGTGCAATAGCCTCTCCTCCTCCCCAAGCTGCATTTGATTACGATATTTTGTCCCAGCAATAGCAACCCTGAGACAAGTGGGCACCTGGGGGTAGGTGACGGGCCTGACCCTGCTGGGTTTGGGGGGTATGTGGAAGGCACTGCTGCAGCTTGGTTTTGCTTCATTCAGGTTACCACACTTCTTAAAGTAAGACTTACCGTGATTTCACAAGAGCCCATAGCTCAGAGACTTTGAACTTTAAAAGAGGTTTTGAAGTTTTACACAGACTTTGCATTTTTAAAGAGACTGAAATTTTAGTGTTTGAATTTGTAAAGACTGTGGGGTTTGTAAAATATTTTATATTGTGATATTAGCTGGTGATCTTGGGGATGAATGAGAAAGGAAAGGTTGTGGGGATGTTGTTTATCAAATTGTAAACTATGCTGGCTGGTTCTATGCCAACCCAACACAAGCTCTAGTCATCCGAGAGGAGGGGAACCCAATTAAGGAACTGCCCCAACAAGACTGGGCTGTAGGCAGGTCTGTAGGGTATTTTCTTAATTAGTGACTGGTGTATGAGGGCCCAGCCCAGTGTTTGATACCATCCCAGGGCTGGTGGTCCTGGGGTCGATAATGAAGCAGGCTGAGCAAACCATGAGGAGCACACCAGTAAGCAGCGCCCTCCATGGTCTTTGCCTTCAGCTCCTGCCTTCAGATTCCATCTCTGTTTCAGTTCTTACCCTCTCTGCTTTCAGTGATGAATCAGTAGTTGCAAGTGTGGGTGAAATAAACCCTTTTCTTCCCAAGTAACTTTTGCTCAGGAAGGTTCGTCACAGCAACAGAAACCCCATGGGTTCCCCTTCTGGAACTGTAAGATCCAGTATGTTCATTTTCCTATCAGTTGCCTTGGTCACGGTGTCTCTTCACACAATAGAAAAGTAACTAAGACACCCGTCCTCCTTCACACATGAGGAGCCAAGGGACCAAGGTGGAAGCACAGAATAGTGAGCCAAAGTACTTCAGTCACTTGGAGGCTTGGTCCAGCAAAACCTCCCCCAAAACCTTCTCTTTCCACGCAAGCTCCCTGCTAAAGCCTACAAAGTCCACAATGAAAGAGGCCTGGGTTCCCAAGTTGCTGGTGGAGGGCGGCTCCCCACCAGCTCTGCAGGAATCAGGGCGCAATCTTCTGTTGGTGGACCACTGAGGTTCTGAGGCTACATCTATCAAAGAGCTGAGTTTGGGGGCTGCGGATGTAGACTGTCAGCAGAATGCTTACCTAGTGTGCTGGAGTCCCTGGGTTCAAGCCCCCATAGTGCAGAAGAGCATGGTCTCCTTCAGAACACAGTATCTATCTCTGCTATAAGAGTAAAGGGAGGTCTGACAGAAGGACTTAACAAATAGGTAGAAATTCTGTAGGAATAGGGAGGGGTTATTTTCAAGTCCAAGGAATGTGTACAATGATGGAAAGAGTCTCGTGAAGAAACTGGATAAACTGAAGGCTGCTACAGTCTGCTGAGAGGGTGATAAGGAATGAACCTGGAAAGATGAGCTATGGATAAGCTGAAAAAAATATTTTTTTCTTCTAAGGTTTTCTAAGGATATTAGACTAGTGGAATGGAATGCACCTTGCTATACATATACATACACGCATATATATATGCACAATTTGAATCAAAAAATATTGCTAAAAAACAGATCACTAGAGACAATAAAATCCTATAACTGAGTAACTGAATTCTCTTAATAATGCAGAGCGGAAATTACTTTTCCACCATGTGAAAAACAAAAATCAGGAGGTTCATGATAACAAACGTATTCAGAACTCGCATGATGGCACTGAAACCCCATGACTAGACCACAAAGGTGAAGTCCAGCCTTAGAAACATCGTGGTAGCATTGTATGAGACTGCTTGTTCATCCCAGCTGCCCAGAGCCTAAATAACCACACAGAAACTGCTTAGTTAAACCACTGCTTGGCCCATTAGCTCTAACTCCTTCTTGGCTAGCTCTTACATCTTAATTTAACCCATTTCTATTATTCTGTGTATGGGGTAAAGTTCCAGCATCTGTCTCCGGTGGAGCTACATGGCGTCTCTCTGACTCCACCCTTCTTCCTCCCAGCATTCAGTTTTAGTTTTTCCCCACCTACCTAAGTTCTGCCCTATCAAAAGCCAAGGCAGTTTCTTTATTCACCAATGGTATTCACAGCACACAGAGGGGACTCCCACATCAGTGGTAGCCAGGGTCATTCCTTTTCAATGTCTACTTCAGTAATTATCATGTGTGTTACTTTGTCAGGATTCACAGAGACAGTTAAACAGCATCCTAGTCCAGCACCTTTGTAGATTGCTGTGCATCTGCTCAGAGCAAGCATCACCTGCTCGGAATGGTTATCCTCACCTGATGGTCTTTGGGAACAGGAACTGCCACGTTGGACTGGAGTTTCAGCACTTCAGGTCCACCAAACTCAAACACTCGAACAGCCCTCATCAACTTCTGTCCAGTTGCCATGGTGACCTAGAGACTAAGACAACATTAATACATTATCACATTGTACCCAGGCTGCCACTGTTTTCTCTCCCCCAGAGCGGACAGATTAAACAAAGTTTCAAACAGCAGTTTACACCAGAAGCTTTCCACTGATCTCATCTCAAGTTCAAGGACCTTTCATCCTGAAAATCCTTCAGCTACAAAGCAAAATCCGCCATACCACTTCCCGTGGGGGTTTAGTGCCTTCAACAACACACAAACAAAAACGTCTGGAAAAGACAGCAGGATACCATATCTGATGGCTTTTGTTTGTTTGTTTAGACTGGGTTGTGGTGTCTTAAAAATCTTACAAACATTGGATTTAGGGATTTTCAGTCAGATGATGAAATGCTGAAAGTCCAGAGGAAAAAAGGAGTAAACATTTATGCCTAGCTTTAACAAGTTAGCCTTTTAATAACCTAACGCATTATAGCCATAACTGAAGCCTATTGCACTAATCCTCCAGCCAGCTCTGGGCCACACTTTGAAGAATCGGTTAGTACCATAAATCCAATGCTAGTAACTGCCCGGTGTGCTTATGTGCATTCAAGAGTAATGTGTGCAATTAGTTTATATTTACTAACTTTATTTATTTTGAATTTTGTTATTTTCTTTTCCCTTTTAGCACCCTGCTTTTGAAATTCATCAGGTTATGGAAACATTAGACTTCCTGTAGCTTTCCATTACATTTGTTTATATGAGTGTGTGCGTATGTAAAAGAAGGTGTAGGCACATGCAGGGCAGGGTCATGTATGAAGAACAGCCAAGAGCCAGTTTTTTCCTCCCACCCTGTGGGATCCAGGGATCAAAATGAGGTGGTTTAGCATTGGTGGCAAGTGCCTTCACCCACAGAATCATTTCTCAAAGCCCTCTGCCGTTCATTGTAACGAAAACAGAAAGAAAATTTAAACCTAGAAAACAGTGCAGTTGTTTATACATTACAAAGGTCCGGGTAACCTTTCTGCCCTCCTGTTATTATTAAAAGGAAGAAAAAGCCCAGTTAAAAATAAACTCTAAGAAAAGCAAGGCTAGTTAACGAATAAAATTATGTAACTGGGAACACCAAAGGGGTAGAGAAGTAATGAACGGGTTTAGTTATAGCCCCATAATTTTAACTGCGCCTTTTCATAATTTCTTTAAATAATCCAATCAAATAAATTCTGCTATGACCTGGGAGGTTTTGCTAGCTGGAAAAACAATCACATCCCCCAAACACCAGGAATATCAGAGAGGCAAACCTCGGAACCTGAGAAAAACAAATGCCAAGTTTTCTATCCAGTCCAGAAAAGAAGTCAAGCAAAACACTAATACCACGCATGCACTGCTGGTTGTTTACTCAATAACACGTTTTCAATATTAAATGTGAGTGTGGCCAAACTCTCCCTGGAGAGATGTAAACAAGTACCCCACCTCGTTATGGGGTCTCAGGGTAAGCCACGTCTGACGGAGGGCTCGCCTGCGATTGCAAGGCTGACTTAAGGAGCGTGGGTTTGGGGTTTCTTAGAGTGTGGGTGAGGGGTTTCTTAGAGCGTGGGCGAGGGGTTTCGTACAAGAGCTCAGATGACTCCACATCAACCACACCACTGGAAAGTCTCACCCAGCACAGATTGGACAGACAGAAACCCTCTCCAGTTGCGCTTCCACCTGCCAAACACTCTAGGCCTTCTGGGCCAATGAGGCCGAGCACAGTTAGCAGAACTGCATATAGTTGGCCCTGAGGTACAGAAGGGGAGAGGCTGGAATATCAGATAAGGGTTCTACAACCCCACCTTTCTATGAGGGAATGTCAACAGTCACCCATCATGATCTTGAGGGATCTCTCGTAAACAAGTAGTCAAAGCTTCCTGCTTCAGGTCACAGCTGCTTCGCTCAGAGGATGACACTTTCCAGTAGAGGTGCTGTGCCAAACCCAGAAAATGCCGTGAACTGTACACACCACACACCCACACACACAGAAACACATGATCACACACACACACACACCACAGTGTTACTGTACTAAACCCAGAAAATGCCATGACCCATACACCACACACACACACACACACACACACACACTCACACGCAACTCATTTTTTTCTTTTTTTTTCTTTTCTGTCATTGCCAGGCTGAGGCTGGAACCTGGGCCCTATGCCTGCTAAGCATCTACAACTGGGCTCTACACCCGATTTCAGCTTTTTTGAGATAGTGTCTAGCTATGTGGACCAGGTTGGTCTTGAAAATCCTACGCAGCCCACGCTGGCTCCCAGCAGCCCACGCTGGCCCCCAGCTCTCCGTCGTACAGCCTCTGCATCTTGAATGCTGTGATTCAGGGATGTTCCCACCTCACTCTGCTTCTTCACTTTCCGGTTTCTATCATTTCCAGCACATCTGACCAACAGACACCCTTACCAGCCTGAAAAGACTATGGTAATAATAAAATCAAAATTGTTCTAAGCCAGGGCCTGTCTCGTGTTGCTAACGCATTTATTTACTTACATTTTAAGGGGGAGGAAGGAGGTCAGGAGAGGGGCAGGAAGGCAGTCCTGGGCCCAGGAGACTGGTCCTCCTCACCTCCCCTACCACTTTGGATAATGCTGCAAAGGATAGCACCACCCTTCTGCGTCCCTTGATCTTATTCCCCGCTGAGCCTTTGCAATCGACTGATCGACTGATCGGGCTCCAGATCAAACTCTCTGCCTTTGAACTCAACCACACTATCATCATCCACTTTGTAACCCTGGTGCTGTATCAAAGAGAATCACAAAGAAAGAAACAGCACAATATACCAACAGCAATTATGAAATTCTTTAAGCCCTAATATTCAGCTTTTCCTAAAATGTATGCGGTTTTTCCTTTATCTCCACACATTTAATTATCTTCACAATAGGCAAGAATGGAAAGTTACTAAAACTGTTACCTTATGCAGGACTAAAAGCAAAGCCCCTATTTTAAAAATGAGAAGACACCAGAAGAGGTTCAGGGCCTGGACAGGGTCACACAGGTCACAGGGAGCTAGAGCCCAAGTCCTGAGCCTTCAATGTTGGCAGACACTGTTTTTCTAACGTATAATCTTCTGAACTCACCTCTGGAAATATTGGCCTAGATTGTCTTTAATGTCTCTGAAATGAATCCTGGGACGGATGAGAAACTGGGGTCACCAAGCTGCAGGCTGGAGTGTTGTGTGGTAGTTGATCACACTCTGACAATCAAGTTTGCTTTGAGACAGAGGGCGGAGCTAGCCACTAGCGGACCAAAATTAACCACAGAAGTCGTGGAGGACTGAGGACAGACAGGAGACAGAAAGCAGTGAGGCGGGGCTGAGAAAGGGGCTTAGTCTTTTGCGCTGAGGAACTGAGAGGAGGTCTGTGGTGGCTTCTCTGTTACTTTTCCGATCATTTCAAGTTCTCACTCCAATATCTGACTCCCGATTTTCTATTGACAAAGAATAATTAGGTACACACTTCACTGAAGCACATGTTTCTAATGAAACCATCTACCTGGGCATTCTTCAAATGCCTATAAATTAAGAAACACACAGGATATGGGTCTATCGGGAAAGCTAATCTACCCGATGGTAGCGCACTCTCTGCATAAGCTACCTATGGGGATCACCTGCAACAGCAGAGAGAACCCCACGTGGGATGCCTGGAGCACAGGAAGCTTTAGCATCACCCATGGTCTCACGAAGGATAACACGGGGCTTTCTGCCACTTTGGGAGCATCTCACACTGTAGCCTAGGCTGACCTAGAACTCAGTTTGTAGACCAGGTTGGACGGGAGTCTCAGTGATTTTCCTGCCTCAGTCTTTCTAGCAAGGACCACCCTGCCTGGCTGCTTTGTTTTTTGTTTGTTTTTGTGTTTTGTTTTGCTTTTTTAACTATGCTGTGGTAAATTACTTTTCTATTTATCAAATACTTGTGTTATGAATACAGTACTTTGGTTTATTTTTTAGTTAAAAGTTCCTCCTCTAGGGTATGCTTGAATTCATCCATAGGTTTAAATGAAATTTGAAGGGATAGGAAAAAGGTTAGACATCTATCTTAACAGAGAACCAATGGGTCAGTTCTCAAACTCAGCGTAAAGCCACCTTACCAAGGGCAGAGGGGGTGGAGGGTAGGTTTAGCAGCAAAGAGCACTTGTCCCCTTACTGAGGACTTCATTTGGACTTCCAGCACCAACGTGGTGGATCAGGTTCAAAACCAACTCTCACTCCAGTCTGAGAGGCCACACCCTCTTCTGTCCTCTGAGAACCCTGGGCATGCATATGGTGCAGACATGCACGCAAAACGCCTATATACATAAAATAGATTTTAAAAAGAAGAACAGAATAAAATAAGAATTTCTGGAGGTATTTTAAAATGAAGACCAAGAAAGAGACCCAATAGTTTTAAGATGTACTGCCACTGTTCTAGAATGGCTCGTCGTATTGTGCGGAGTTATTATTATTAACTTGGAAATGCAGATAAATGATCACGATTAAAGCGGCCGGTACCATTCTTGTGGCCATGTGTTCACAGAGATCACCTGGCTCCACTGTGAGACCGTGGGGAGAGGTAACTGTGACCGCTGCCTTCCCTAAGAGCCGGAGCCAGCAGGGAGGCCAGAGTACAGAAAGTCCTCTCTCTGCCTGTAGCTGGAAAGTCGGGGCACATGAGCCTTGGTGGCTGCAGAAATCACCCAGACTGAACCACCCGGCCACCTGCTGTGCACATCTCAAGGGTAGTTCGAGCCTAGGACTTGTTTTTGTTATTGTTGGTGGTGGTGGTAGTTGTGAGTTGTTTTTATTTGTTTGTTTGTTTGCTTGCTTGCTTGCTCTTTAAAAGCCTCCCAGCAGACAGGGCTAGGAGCTTGCAGTCCTGGTCAACTGCCAGGTTGTAGCTCGTACCCCCGGGACAGAGGGAAGGAAAGACAAGTAGTCAAAACCAAGCGCAGCTCATTTGGAGAGATCGACGTTTAAAAACCACTTACCCTTCTCTTAGAGTAAGAATCAAAACCTCCTAAGCTCCAGAAGTTCCTCGGCAAGATAGACCAGCCAGCCTTTCCAACTTTTGCAGGCCTCCTCCTCGTCGCTACGCCTCCTCTAGGGGGCGGAGGCCGACATCCGCTGACCGTGCAAACGCAGGAGTTTGGTCCTCCGCGGCCACCGTGGTGTCAGTACTGCCGCGCCCACGGAGACACGAGGCGGACGAGCCCGGGTCGCTCCCGCGCATGGACCGCGGCGCAGAGTTCAGCCGCTGGAAGGCGCAGAGCCTGAGCAAGGCGGACCTCAGCCGGAAAGGCAGCGTGGACGAGGACGCGGTGGCGGTGGTGGAGCTCCTGAACTCGCGGGAAGAGTTCTTCACCACCAGCTCCTGCGCAGGCCGGATCCTCCTCCTGGACGGGGTGAGGCTCCCTGGCTCGCCCTGCCCGTGCTTCCCAACGGTGCTGGCTGCCTACCTGGCGCTTCTGCAGTTGGTGTCGCCGCTCTCACAAGCACCCGCGGCCCCAGGATGGTGAAAGTAGCTTCAGCGGCAACCGCTAGGAGAATTGGATTTGTGGGATGCTAGAGGGATGGATGCACCCGAATCCTCACCTGAGCCGCTCTCCTCAAGTCCCTGCTCTTTCTAGACGAGCATCGCTGAGGTTCAGGGTCACTGCCACCCAGTGGCCCACTCCACTACTGCAGCTCTGCCCAGTTTTTTTTTTAGCTCTAAATGCAGCAGTACATGGTACAAGATGCAAAGGCCTCAGGCTGAGGACGCTGACCAGTTATCCGTATTGACTTAGGAAAGGTGCATGCACCCATCTCCTGCTGTCCCAAGAACTGAGGATACCTAGACAACTTCTGTTGCATAGGATGTCGTGTGGAGGAAATTGAGTCGTTTTATTTTCAGCATTTGTCGTTCAGCATTTGTCACCGCCTGGTCCAGGTGGTTAAAAGTTGCCTCGTATTCATTTTGTTACTGTTACTGTATCCAGAGCATCGAAGAGCACACATGCATGGGTACAGTTTTTAGATCCAGTGTAATAATTAATCCTTTGCCGAACTCCCGGGTTAGCAAGGCCTGTTGACGTTTATGCTTCCATCACGTTTTGTGCATGGGCACCCAACGCTGACTGTTCCCACCCCTTCTACCACTGCCCCATCTGGTTTTTTTTTTTTTCTTTCAGATCGTCCCCAATGAATCTCTGAAACACTTTTCTCACCTCCAAACCTTGTCACACATGAACACGTTTGTCCTTTTTCATATTCACCTTTTAAGGCGGGATTTTCTTGGCTAAGCATCTGTGCTGAAGCTTTGGGGCACATTTCTTACTTCAGAAAATCCAAATTTTTATTATACTACATCCTGCAGCCCTATCCCCATTTTAGCCAAGTGCCAAATTCAAACTCTTTTCTCTTTGGCTTTTGTTACCTGCTTTTGTCTGGCTCGTGTTCTTCATTTAGGAGCGGCAGTACTGAGAACTAGACCTGGGGCCTCACAGGTGCTAGGCAGGCGCTCTGCAACTGAGCTGTGTCCCCAGCTCCTCCCTGCCTTTTACCTTTTAAAGCAGGGTATTTAGAAGCTGCCAGGCTGGTCTTGAACCTGTGATCCTCCTGCCTCAGCTTCTGGAGTAGCTGTTCTTCTATAAAGCTTGCCCTCAACCCAAATATCTGAGACATGAGTCCCCAGACTCCACTCTTCTACAAACACCCAAAGAGGTACAGACAGACAGACAGAGGATAGTACCCACTTAGTAGTGACTGTTCACTCTGAACTGTCTTAGGTCTCTTTTTGGACACCTTTTTAGCGTATGTATCTTATACGTCATTGATTTTTGGTTTTATTCTTATTAGAAAAGAAGAAAAGTGAAAAACCAGGATAAGAGGAGCATAGAGGAGCTGGAGATGTTCCCAAGTCGTGGTGTTAGATCCTGTAAATTGGTTAAATGTAGACCACTCGTTTGGCTCTGAGGTTTGTAGCAGACAGCACAAGACCAAGCACATCTTACTGAAGTCTTCCTATGGAAATAGTTATTGAGGAGACGTGCTTCTGAGACCAGATGGCAGAGCATCCTCCATTGTCCTTGTATAGATGGTTGCATATCTCCATATGCAAGATTGTCTCCTTTCATTTTCAAGTATCTTGGAGGAGGACCTGTATATTCCCACTAGGATTTGCAAATAAACAACGTTTAAGTCGATGTTGTAATAGTAGCCTTTTCAAATAGTTGACACTTTGGTCCTAGCTTCTTTGCCAATACAGTCTAATTTAGAAATCACAAAGTTATGCCCAAAGTGATGAGGAATGTGTTCAGAGGCGAGCCCATTCCAGGTATCAGCAAACGCTGGGTCTTGGTGTCAGCCATACTGTTCTACAGGGGTCCCCTCCCTTTGTCATCCTTTGCAATCAGATGCTGCTAGCATCCAACCCCTCAGCATCCTTCTCTTCAGACAAACACATGACCAAATGGCATGTGGCCTGTGGTGAGTGCACCCCCCCTCCCCCGGCACTCATGAGGCCTCGGGCTCCTTTGCTAGCATCCTAGCACAAACACAGATGCAAACACACAGCCGTGTTTCTGAACACACGAGTACTGTTACCGTTCAAGCCCTAAGTTATTTGAGTTGATTTTCCTTCTTCGTTCTCTTTGCCCCAAAATATATTGAACTATTTTTAGTAATCCTTATGCGTATTAATTTAAGAATGTTCATCATACGATGCAATGCAATTGTACTTGTTTTGTTCAATGCTATAATTAATTTGCTTGTCATTTTAGAGCCCAAATGATTCTGGGGTTCAGAAACAGCACTGTTGCTGGCTGCTGGTCACACACAAACCTTGTGTGAAAGAGGATGTGGTAAGTTTTTAATATTTAAAAAAGAAACTTTAAAATTCCACAGTTCCTTTAACTGTGTACAGAGAATAGAAGATTCACATGTATAATTATAATGGCTGAAGATGCTGAAGCCTGGAGAACTCCGGCTCCATTGGTCCTGTCGGGCTGTAGAACACTGTGCTGAGAGTGTCAGTGTGTGTGTGTCTGCAGCTCAGGGCCTGCAGCTCGGCAGAGCATCCTCTCTGCAGCTCAGGGCCTGCAGCTCGGCAGAGCGTCCTCTCTGCAGCTCAGTGCCTGCAGCTCAGTGCCTGCAGCTCAGCAGAGTCTGCAGCTAAGCAGAACGTCCTCTCTGCGGCAGAGAATCTGTGGGCATTTGGCATGTTGAATTGAAGTCTTCCATTTCGGTTATTTAATAACTTTGCAACCTGGGACAAATTATAGAAGGAGAAGGGGGTTTTCCCTCCCTGCATGCTGGCTTCAGTGGCTGAGATCATTACACATTGTGGGTCTGTTTCACAGCCTTCATGGCTGTGCTCGGTTGTGTGTCTCTGAGTCTTAAGTGTGAGGTGAGCACATGGAAAGTTGTATCAGGCAGGTGCCTTTCTCTCCTCGTCCTTTAGAAATTCAGTCCCATTCTGTGCAGATGAAAGGACAGAGGTGGAGGCTGAGGTTCAGGTGCTCTCATGTTGCATGTGGCTCCGTCTGTGTCTCTGGGAGCTGGCTGTGTATTCCTGATGCCTGCACTTGCTTTTCTGCTGCAGAGGATCTTTGCAGCAGCCAGGGAAACTGCCAGCAATCCCAGCAGAGAAAGAGGCCCTTTTTCCAGCATCCATGAACCAGTCCCAAAGACGGACTCTTGAGTTGTCCTGGATGGATTTGATGCTTCATGCTAAATGAATGGCTTTTGCTAGTGGTTGATAATAGACTCTGGTTGGACACAGACAGTTGAGGCTGCTGGTTGATAGGGAGAGTAAGATCAGAGTCATAATTGACGGCTCACTAGAATCAGTGGCGTGAAGGTGAGAGGGTGCTGCCCCCAAATACCAGGCAGGCAGAAATAATAACTCGTATAGATTTTAGCTCAGATATAGTATTACGTGTTTGCCTTGTGCCACTGTTTCAGCTGTACATGACACATGCCACTCAGGAAAGAAGCTGGTGTGTGGCTCAGGTTGCTAAGAACAAGCAGCACACACTAGATGGCCACGGTATAATAGCTGCTTAGTGCAGGAATGAGGGGTAAGAGCCCATGGGAAAGACAGTGTAGCCCATGTCCTTGTGGAGCCTCAGCAGGTAAAACTGTACGGACCCTGGCTGGTAGAACTGTGCTGCAGCTAAGGACTATTGTACGCACATCCTCTGTGTGCTTCAATAAAATGACCTTTCTTTTACCCTGTGGCATCTGCAAAATAGGTTTATTATTCAAGGAGATGGGCTTGTACCGGTACAGAGGGAACAGAAAAGCACTGGCTGCTCTGGGTTCTTTGTGTGTCACATGGTTTCCATGCTTAGGAGCCCATCTCGAACTCAGCAGAACGTTCTTCTGGAACGCACTAGGAAGGCAGTGGGCTTTGCCTGCGTCCTTCACAGTGTGTGTGCCCCATCTCAGTCTAACATCAAAACATGTCACCAGCTTTCCAAGTACAGGCCCCAGGTCCTACATCCTTAAGAAACTAAATTAAACAATAGTTTATTTTTGCCAGTTGGAGCGGCTGGAGAGGGTACAGAAGACTCAGATTTGTGGGAAAGGTAGAAATCAAGTCCTTAAAGAAAATAAGCGAATGAGGTGGCTCAGGGGATATAAGCACCTGCTGACCACCCATTCTGATGACCCGAGTTGATCCCCGGGACCCATGTGGTAAAGGGAGCGAACCAAGGAAAGCCATCGTTTGACCCTCATAGGTGTCATATGCAGACGCCCCACCCAATAAATAATAAACGTAAAGAAATAATCAAAACGAGCTGTAATAATGTTCTCAATGAAAGAATGCCAAGAAAGCAGAGGAAGGGAATTCCAGACAGCGTGTGCTTAGCAAGCGAGACTTTCTCAGAGAGCAAGGAAGGTGGGAGGGAAGGGTTGGCGGGGCGGGGCGGGGCAGCCATGCCTGATGCTGCCCTTTGGTCCCTGCAGATGGCAGCTCTGCAGGGTGCGACCAGCAGTGCCGTTCTGAAGTTCGAACCATTTATCCTCCACGTGCAATGCCGGACTCTGCAGGACGCACAGACCCTGGTAAGACTTTGTGCCAGCTCTTGAATCTCAACATCTGTGGGCAAAATCAGCTTTAGGCTTTACGACACCCTTTGAAATTCATTGGTGGTTTATTTAGCTAATGTTTTGATTTAATTGTTTTCATCCGGTTGGTCAGTCTAGCTATTTTTATCGAGTGTTAAGAGCAGGGACTCCTGGTCATCTCCGGGAAAATAAAATACAAACCCACACGTGGCCGCCGTCATCCTCACCATCCGCCAGGTGATTTCACAGGCCTGCGTCTTTGGTTTTCGTCCAAGTTTTAGGAGGAAGCTGTGGGACTTGCGTGTTTGCCACCTCCCTGTGTGTTTTTACACCTTGACTTCCACGCGGGGCCGTTTCATTACAGGTGTAACTTCGTAAGAGCACTCCGTTCCTGTGCTTCACAGAGCAGCTGAGTCGTAGCCAGCATAAAAGTCTTCCTACAAATGGTGTGTCTGGGTTAGCACGCCGTGGATGCCTTGAAGGCCACTTCAACTCTAACACCAAGATGAGATTGGTGTTTATGTAGAGGGATGGAAGAAACACTGGAGAGATGCCAGCGTGCACCATTTAAAGCTGTGCCGAGAGACAGGCACTGGGGAAAGTGAAGCCCCTAGAGATGCCCTTTAAACGTCAGTTAAGATGCAGCACTCGGCAGCCTGAGTTTTTCCTCTAGATTTGCATGTATCCTAATCGCCTCTTGCTCCAGAGTATACCGCCAGTGATGCTTAAGCTTGACCTCTCCGGTTTCCATGCTGGGTCCAGCCCTGAGAGCTAATCCTGGCGTTACCTGTTGGATGCACTCTCCGGGGTCAGAGCTGGGGTGGGAGACTGCCATGCAGAGCTGACACAGTAGAGCCACAGATGTTCCCCACCTGTGAGCACGCTCAGTATCGCCCAGACTGTCGGGTGCTGGGGGAAGTAGAGAAGGCCTGTGCTGTCTCCCCAGAGAGTCTGTGTTTGTTCCAGAGGAGGCAGATGACCAGTAAGAAGACAGAGAAACAGTGTTTCACTGGGATGGGTGCTGATTAGGGCATGGTCGCGGGCTGCTGGAGAAGGCTGCCCACTGGGAACGTGTCATATGAGAAGAATCTAGCACAGGCAGAGTTGTCCAGACAGAGGGAATGACAGAAATAGAGGCCGCTATCAAGAAAGGCTTTTGAGTGTTCAGAGAGCACAAAGGAAGCCAGACGAGGCTGGAGAGGAAGGCAGGGAATCAATCATATAGAATGTTATATATTATGGGATAGCATTTGGACTGCATTGTGGCCTGTTTGTAAGAGGGTTAAAGGTCATGGATGAAAACAAACACCTACAGAAAGTCCATGGACAGAGACGGAGAGCTGGGTGAACCAAGGTGTGAGCTGAAGGTAGAAGCAACGGGAATTTCTTGTGAGGTAGAGGGGTCGAAAGCTAAAGCAAGTGCACTTTGGAGACTGAGACAACTGTGGTCGCGCCCTGGCTGTACTCCTTGTATATCGGTGCCTCCCCCACCACCACCAGGGTCCCGCAAATGCCATTGCAGGATGCCCTTGAGGGACAAAAGCGTGCCGAGATGAGAGCTGCTGAGCTGAAGGAAGGCCGGTGCCCTATAGGGGCCAGCCGGGCAGCTGGACGTCACAAGTTCAGCATGTTCAGGCCCAGAAGTGCTTGTCCTGTGGCATCTCATGGTTTCCTTTAGGACTGGAACGGATCTGAGGGAGCTTTGCTCTTTCTTAGAGAAAACTTCTTCATTTGAAGTTTGCGTTTGTCTAATACGGCTTAGACATGTGCTTTAGTTCGTGGTCATTGGCCAGATGCCTGTTTCACCCTCTCTATTGGTATTTCTAGAGCTGCTCTTGAGGTACATGTAGCAGGCACTGTGATGGGGCTTTAACACAGTGCACACAGCCAAGCACATTAGCGGTCTTGCAGTTACCTGTTTCTGCCTCTTATGGGACATAAGTGAGGGTCTGGCTACCTGGCATAACTTAGGGTGTTGTGTTTTTTGCAGCATTCAGTGGCCATCGACTCTGGCTTCAGGAACTCTGGCATCACAGTGGGAAAGCGAGGGAAGACCATGCTGGTAAGGTCATCGGCAAGAACAGTTCTGGGGCTGTAACGGAATCCGGATCACCGGAGCCACTTGTTACCGCTCCTGCTCTTTCCCTCCCTGCTCAGAATGCCTTACTGAAGTAGGCAGGCTCTGCCCTACGTAGAAATGCAGAGTTTGGGCTTACATTTGAGTCCTGTTTTCTATCCCCCCTCTCTCCTTACCTTGAACCTGGTTCCTTGCTGTCCCAGCCTCCTCCTGAGTCGTCGGGGGATAAGGGAACGAGTATGCCTGCTCTGTGTTGAGAGCGTCATGGGTATTGAGTCCTCCATGTTGGTGACCTGATTACAGCCATGCTTTATAACCTGCGTGAGCTCTCTGATACCTGGTGTCTGCTGTCTGCTCGGAGGTCAAGAGACTGCTCTTCTTGGACCACGTCCAGCCCCTGGGAAACCAAGTCCACTCTACCTTCTGATTCATGCTTGGGTATCACTTCTTTTGTACCATTCCATCAGAACTGAGTAGTAACAGATACTGCATGGCCTGAAAATTCAAGGGCATTTATTATCTGCCCCTTCATAGCAAAGGTTCGCCAGCCCTCAATCTAGATGGTCCCCAAGGTTCTTAAATCCTGCATTCTCCTTGTCCTTCCTGCCCAAGCCAACCCATAGTGATTTTGCCCAGATCCTGTTGAGCTCACTGTCTGCACAGCACACACTGTGTGTGGACATGTCAAATTCCTGCTATTCTAGCTCTCTCCACTCTTTCTATTTTTCACAAACAGCCTATTTCCCAAATAGAGGTGGCTTACAAAGAACTTAGGAAGCATCTAGACAGTAAGTCAAAGCCTTCTCTCCACAGCATATCTGGTCCCCAAGAGAAAGCACAACCATCTCTTCACCTTTCTCTCCTTTGTCCTCTGTGTCTAGTTAGTCACTGGTGTGATCATATCTGCCTCTGTGCCTTTCCAGCTAGGCTGTATACCCTGTCTAAGTCAGAGCTCAGCATCCGTCTCCTCACTTCTAAGACTGTCTCCTGACGGGCTGGCTCCAGAGAGTTCTTCTCCAGCTCCTAACCCATAATTATCAGAATCTCTCCTTTAAAACACCAGGGTCTCCCAAGCTTCCTTGGGGGATATCCTGACTCTTTCCCCAACAGAGCTGCTGAGATTGCCCGCCCCACACGCTGAGCAGACAGCCCCATTAGCTGCACGGTGGAGGAAGCCTGGCTTCTCCTTGTCATCCATCCTCCGCTCCAGCAGATGCTGGAAGAGACTGGTTTTTCCTGGCGTTCTCTACAGATGTTTCCTTTGTTTCTTTTTCTAAAATCACGTACTAAAGTTTTCTTAGCTCTAGTGGGATTGAAACTGCTCAAAGTTACTGGATTCTTTGATACTATCCGCTTCTCTGAGAAGAATGTGTAGATGCCCTTCTGGAGAAGACGCTGTACATGACGAGAACTCTGTTTCATCTCCTTCGCTTTGCTTGAGTTTAACTAAATTACAGACATCGAGGGCCTACGTGCTCTAAGGAAGGGAACTGTTCTGGCTGAGCTCTGTTCTTCATTCCTAAACTGCTTTCTCTTCTAGGCCGTCCGGAGCACACATGGATTAGAAGTTCCATTAAGTCATAAGGGAAAATTGATGGTTACAGAGGAATATATTGAGTTCCTACTAACTATAGCAAATCAGAAAATGGAGGAAAACAAGAGAAGGATTGAAAGGTACAGTCAATTATTTATTTCCACGTAATTCATGTATTCCTATAGAGACACATACTCCTTTAAGGTCTAGTCTAAACTGCTTGTGTGATTGTAGACCTCCTGTGGAGAAAAGAAAGATGATGGAGGTCATGGGGGACTAGGGCACACTGACGGGCACTCAGAGATCGCAGAGGGAGGCTTCACAGAGACAGCCAGACATGTGACCGCCAGGAGAATGCACCAGAGAGAGAGTCCAGCAGCTGTGGGAACAAAGGTTGAAGGGAGGTTGTACACGCTGCCCTGGATGTTGCTAAACTCCCGTTTTCAGTCTGATGGTGCCTTAGACCCTGGGCTATTTCAACAGCCGTCTGTTGCCATGGAGCAGTCTGGAATCACATCCTAGCCCGTTAGAAAGAAGACTCGAAACCAGCTCACAGCTCTGTGTTCTCGTTCTTCAGCTCTGCCACCTGGCAAGTGGACTAGCACACGCTCCCTTTTACAGGGCTTTATATAAACACTGCCTGCCATGCGTGTGAGCAGTGCCACCGAATCCTCTGGGCAAGCTATGTATCTGTCGGGTTGGGTTTTGGTGTGCGCATGCATGCACTCGTCATGTGAGTGTGCGTGCGCAGCCCAAGCACACTTGTGGAGGTCGGGGACAGCTCTGGGTTGCGTGGGTTTCAGAGACTAAGCTCAGGCCCTCAGGTTCATGTGGCAGGTGCTCTCACCCCCTGAGCACTGCACTGTGGCTCGCCAGCCCAAGCTGCACAGTTCCCGGTTACAGAGCGATGGGCATTTTGGCATCATTTGTGATTTCCCTTTCTCCTTCCCACCCTCTTGACGGTCCCATGTCTCACCACTCCCTAAATACCTCTTCAGTCATTTCCCTGCCGTCTTCATTGCCTTTCTTTACTCACAGCCTGTGCAGCAGCCCCCCCCCCCCCCAGCTCTCTCAGAGCAGGGTGTACACAGGATGTCTGTCTTTGGTCTCTGTACTACCGTCAGAGTCTTGTCCATACTAGAGAGGAAACCCATGCGCTGACCTCCCTGCCAGAACCCCTCAGCTACCTAGAGACTTGCAGCTGCGGCTAAGACCGAACTTGTCCCCCACAGCAGCCTAGTTCAACCCTGTCCCACCAGGTTCCTCAGCCTAGCTCCACCAAGTCACTGTCTTGTTTCTGATTGTGTTATCACTAACTTGGGGAAATGCTAGCCCAGAGAACAGTTACTGCTATCACTAAACACCACGTTCTTTGTGGTAGGCCTCGGTGCCTGCTGTGGGCTCTCCGAACAGGAGAGCCCTAATACAATCATCCCACCCAGAAGCGCAGACTCCTTAGAAGCTTCCCCCGGGGAGCTGTGTGACCTGTATCAGATTAGATGCAGGGGTGAGAAGCCCATTCCTCACCCACAGTGACTATCTCTGCAATGCAGGGGTGAGAACCTGATTCCTCACCCACAGTGACTATCTCTGCAATGTAGGGGTGAGAACCTGATTCCTCACCCACAGTGACTACCTCAGCAATGCAGGGGTGAGAAGCCTGTTCCTCACCCACAGTGACTACTCAGAGCATTGCAGGGGTGAGAAGCCTGTTCCTCACCCACAGTGCCTGGATTACAGCAAGTAGATCCTGGTTTTAAAAAATTGCTCATAAACCCGGCCACAAAGCATGGACTCCTACCCAAAGTAGGATCAGCTGGCCGCCCACCAGACTGCAGACAGGAACTGCATACAGACACGTACTGCCACCAGAGTCGAAGTCTACAGATGTGCTCCATGGGGGCCGTTTGTGGAGATGCAGGAAGCAACGGCTCAGTTTCTCTATATTCTGCCCTGAATTTCAACAAGATTATAAATATAGCCCAAGATCAACTAACTATACACCTGGTGAAGTTAATTGAGCCACGCTCACCAACCATAAAATCAAATTATGAGTTAAATCCTTTGACTCAGAAATGTATTTTGAGATGATAGTCTGCATGCCACTATCAAGAGAGCCAGGCTCATCACATAAAATCAGGAAAAAATTAAAGAAGGGTAAAAAGTGTCTTAAGATCCTGATTACAAGATTACGTGTGGCTTCAGAGCATGTGAACAAATTAAGGTGCTCCTCTGGGAGCCGTCTGCACATCAGCCAGATGCAGGCACAGAACTTCTGGTCTTGGAGGAGAAAAGGGCGTCAGCAAAAACGGGTGAGCACAGGCGGGGGGAGGACAGGGGGGGCATGTTTCTCGTGGTTCAGATGGAACTGGAGCTCTCAAGCCAGCAAACATCAGCAACAGCTGGTTTAGAAGTGTGACAAAGATAAAAGTTAAAGTACTTACAAATATGTTGTATGTGTTGTTAGATGCGTGCATATGTATATGTATGATGTATGTATGGCGTGCTTGTGTGTCAGTGTGCATCCTTATGTGTTAGTGTGATATATGTGTATCTGGTCACATGTGTGCACATGTATGAGAGTGGCGTCATGTGTGTGCCCTGTGTGTACAAGTATACCTATGTATGTGTGAAGTGTGTGTAGTATCTGCACATGTATGCAGGTGTGCCTATGTATGATATATGTGTGTATGTGTGTTATCTGCACATATGTTCAGATCTGGAAGTCTTGTGTCCTGCTCTGACTCTGCCTTGAGACAGAGTCCCTGACTAAACCTGGCAGTAGGATGGGGGCAGAAAGACCTTAGCTGCCCTCAGCCTCAGATGCTCACGAGCCTCTGCTGTGGTGCTGGGGTCCGAACTCAGACCTGGACACTTGCGCAGCAAGCACTGTTACCCACTGAGCCATCTCCTCAAACCCTAAATACTTTTAATAGAGAAAAGGTCACGTTCATGTTTGTGAAAAACAGTCCCCATGCCTGCCTCTCTGTGGGAAGGGGCTCAGCCAGCAGAGCAGCTTAAAGCCTGCAGCCGGCGTCTGGAGCCAGGCAGGGCAGTCCTGGGACCATGGCTGCTTCATAAAGAGCCAGTTTGGAGACTGGAGGAGACGGGGACCGCAAACACCAAAAGATGTTTCATACATAACGATATCCAGGTGGGAAACCGGAGGTTTGTAGATCTGCCTTTGGAGGGGTTCTTTGTTAGTACCGGGTCAGGACCTGGATCCGGTAAAGCCATGCGGCACCGAGTAGAAAGAAATTAACCATGTTCTTCTTTTCATCAACTGTGTAATAAAATATTAAATAAAACAGAATAAAGGGCTGAATATATTGGCATATAATAGTGTTAAGAATAAAGAAATCAGAAAGGCAAAGTAATCTGTTTGCACTGGTTGGTTTCTTTTTAAACCTTTTTACTGTGGTAAAATATAAGTGACAGAAATTTACCGTTCTGACCAATGGCATTGTGTACGTCCGCATTAGGAGCCATCATCCATCCATCTCCAGAGCTTTCATTGCCCTGAGTAGGCACTGAGCTCCGGCCTCACTCCATCCTACAGCTGCTCCCAGCACTCTGCTGTCCGTGCGCGTGTGCGTGTGTGTGTGTGAGCGTGGCTACTCCAGCCGCTTGATCACGCAGCCTGTCCTGTGTGTAGCTCCTGTCTTGGTGTACTCTCGTGCGGTACTCTCGCGCAGTAGTGGTTTTGTTTGTCGCAGTACCAGGTATCGACCTAGGCCTTTTGCATGCTTTGCAAGAGGACCGCCCCGGCTACAACCCCTGACTACTAACCTTAAGGACGCTGCGGTGGGTGCCGTGGGTGTCTCAATCACTTCTCTTTTCCAGACTGGCCACACCCCATTGTGTTTATGGATCTGATTTTGTTTCCCTGTGATGGGAGATTTGTTTGTGTTTTCACCCTGAGTCCACGTGGTGTGGACTGTAGAGTTTTCTGGCTGACGCAGAAGGGATAGAAGGGTGCAGAGAAGAGGGCGAACTAAAATGGTGGAGAAGAGGGTGACGTGATCTTTGCTCCCTCGCTCCATGAATCCATCAGGTTAATTCCCTAATATTTGACTCCTGAACTTCATTGAATAATAAAGCATTAAGAGAAGCCACAATGCTCTGTTCATCTGTTGATAGGCAGTTTACAGCTTTCCCTGCAGGGATGCCACCGCCCTGGCAGTAGCGTCTTTACACAGAGTTTTAGCTTCTCAGGAAGCTGTTCGTCTGGTTTTCTGTTGTTGTCTGTTTTTTGGTATTGAACCCAAGAAAGCCATCATTGCCAAATTCAGTCTGGTGATGCTTCCCTATTTGTTTGTTTGAGTTCTTGTTTAGGTTTTTATGGGTATTTACTTTAACTAGCAGGTGATTTCAATACCGTTAGTGACTGAGTGAGTAAAGGGTTGGCGAAATGTTTCTCTGGCCTCCCTTCTGTCCGCTGCAGCCCCCAGCTCCACTCCACACAGATGAGAACTTCACAGCTAACCCCTCCCAGTGCTGACCACAGTAGGACTCTAGGAATCAGCAGTGTGCTGATGTTGTCATGACAGCTGTGAACTGGATGAGGATGAATATGTACTTATGTGTTCTTTCAGAAAGCACTGCAGTGTGCAGGCCTGCTAGGTAGTGCGGTTGAGAGAGGAGCCCAAGGTAGATCCTCAGCTTTTGTAACAGTACAGCTGGGCATTCTGACGAGTAACTGTAATTCTCCTTAAGGAATGGTGAATGCCCAAGATGGGCCTTGGAGTCACTGGTTTTCCAAAATGAGGTGCTATTATTCCCTAGAGAAAGTGGTGTGAAGCCAGAAGTGTGGTGAAGGGAAGCTCTGGCCTGACCCTGCTGGGGTTTAGAAGGAGCTCCCTGCATGGAAGGAGCTGACTGTGAGGAGGAAGGCATGCTGATGCAGAGATGGGAACAAGCCCTGGACTAGAAACGGGTGTCTGTGAGTAGCATTCATAAGAGTGAGAACAGAGTTCACAGTGATGAAGGCCAAGTTGTAGTTGATTGACTTTATAATCTATCAGGCTATACCTGACAGTGTCAAGTCTAGGTGTGTTTCAGTCACTCACTTTTAGAATGCTGGTCAGTATATGTAACCATATATTTAATTCCTTACAGGTTTTACAACTGTCTACAACATGCTATGGAAAGAAAAACCATTTCCAACTCACATTCTGAGATCAAAGAGAAAAATAACCCACTTTGGACTCATAAGAATAAAAGGAACCGAGAAAAAGCACATGACCCATCTTTCCCTGAAGACAAAGAAAAGGAGCTGGAAGGTGGCGACGTCCTGGGAGTCAAGGCTGTGTTCTCCTCGGAGGATGACTAAGACCTGGCTCTGGCCGTGTCCGACACACATTATAAAGATGCTCTTTACAAGAGTGCTGTGTTTGCTGAGTGCGTCAGCCCTTCGGGTACAAGAGTTCATTCCTCTCTGTTTCAGAGAAGCTCGCAAGTGTAAATGGCTTTTCAAAGGAGCTTTGTATGTATTTGCTCTCTGAACACTTTTCTTAAGCCTATGAGGAGTCACTCTGCAAATAAACTTACAACTTTTGATGCCTGACTTTTTGGTTCCTGTTTCTGTTTGTGTGAGGTTAGCTGGGATGAGGGTAGCTGCTATGAGACAGTGTCTTCTGTGACAGGGAGCCGTACCCATGAAATCTCAATAGCATGGCCCCCGAGCAATGATGCCAGCCAGGATGGGGAACTCTCACAAGGCTCCCTGTAGATTAAGGGCTACAGTAATCAATGGCTCCCGAGAGAGGGAGACTCAGTCCCCTCTAGAAAAGAGGCCCCTGGGAGGCTACCCAGCTCCGAGCAGCCATTTCTAAACACACGTGTATGTGAGCAGCACTACAGAGACTCAGCAGGTGCACACCTGAAACAGTGATGAGTGAGTAAAAAGTTGTGGAGGTGAGAGGGAGTGGGGGAGCCGGGAACGGGGCGTAGACAGAGTTCTCGTGTGATGAGAGAAGAATAAATGCTAGAAAAAAGGAAATTCGTTTGAGCTTTTATAATTTGGAATCTATGAATATCCCCCCCCTTGTTTTTAATCAAAGTCTCACTGACCCGATTCACCATCCACTCACAATCATATTCAAATCAATCATTATGTTTGCTTTCTTATTTCTTTTTATTAGTTGGGGTTCTACTTTGTCCGTGAGCATGTGTGTACATGCTCAGGAACGCATACCCATGCACCCACGCACACACGCGTGCGCGCACACACACACACACACACACACACACACACGTTTGTCAAGTAGGTTATTCTGTTCAATGACGTAAGTGTCGTTGCTGTTACCATCTGTGTTAATGTTTACATTGTCTGAGGTGTAGCCCATGGGAGTCTCCCGGTTGTCCCTTGTGTGTTTTGCGGGTCTTCTTACCTTGCACAAGAAGAAACTCCAGGCTCAGCTTGTGAGTTTGCAGCCCATTTGACATTTGTGCCTAGAGGTTTTCTGCATTTATGACAGTGGGTTATTTTTGTGTATAATTATGAAATTGTTCATCGTGCATGGTAATTATTAGCAAATGATCATTATTCCAAGGTTAGGTTTTGCAGTGCGCATCACCTTCAAGATGTGCTGACAGGAATGTCATGGGCTGCTTTCTTCTCTAAGAAGGCAGTGAGAAGTTCCCTTTAAAACCCCTTGTGCATAGAAGTCCTTACTGGTCCTTTGTTCCTTGGTTTTCCACGACTAAACCCATACCCTTGTAAGATAAAAGAATTGTTTTGAATTTCCTTATCTTAACAATGGGTTTCTGCCCAGAGGTGATGATCTTTAATCCCAGTACTCAGGAGACAAAGGCAGGCAGACCTCTCACACAGGTCAGCCTGGTCTAAAGAGTGAGTTCCAGTCGGGCCTGCACAGAGAAACCCTGACTCCAAAAACAAAAAAGAAAAGAGAAGAATGGTTCCTAAAGCCGCCTGTCTTGTCCGTCCTGTCGCTTTGGAGTGGGTCATTTGCACGAACTGTCAAAGGCTTCCACAGCGTCAGGAATCACAGCAGCAGGAAGCTTAGTTAACCAGTTTACAAAAGAGAGGAGCAGGAAGGGGGTGAATGTGGACCCGTCTAATTGCCCACCTTGGCCACCAGGTGGCAGAGTAGGACACACAGTCCACACCGCTGCCCGAGTCACCCCTGACGTGCAGAGCCTGGCTGAGCTTTCTTTATAATCCTCGAATGTGCTAATGGTTTATTTTTAAAGCACATTGGAAAGCTAACTTCTATCGACATTTTTAAATAATGAAATCACTTAAAGATATTTTAGCCATTTGGTATTTTTTTTATACCAAAAAGCTATTTACGAGGGACATTTTAGCCTTGTTGAAGGACAACACTGGGTTTGTCACATCATCAGAACAACAGTGGCTTCAAACTTTTAGTCTGATATATATGTATATAGATAAAGATATTATATATATGTGTGTGTGTATATACACACATATACATATGGATATATACATACAATATAGTCTACATGTAAAATATATGTATTATATATGTATTAGTATATATTTAATTGTTCTGCTCATCTTCATACTGTAAATATATTTAAGTTGTTGGGTATGTAAGCTAACAAATTCATAATCAGAATCCATTTGTATAATTTCAAAAGATGGCTCTTCTCTCTCTCTCTCTCTCTCTCTCTCTCTCTCTCTCTCTCTGTGTGTGTGTGTGTGTGTGTGTGTGTGTGGTAGGTCTCTAGAGAAATTGATCTCTCGATATATGTGAATTAAATCTCCAGCTGTCCTGGGATGAGTGGATAATTATAGTCAGATTCATCAGGACTATAGATTTTCACCTTAAATTGTTTTCTCCGACAATTCTGAAGTTTTCATAAGAGTCTGTCTGTCTGTCTCTGCTCGTTATGTAGCTTCACACTTGGCAAACAAAAAAACCTTCAATATCTACATTTAATAATCCATCTAAACAGTGCACACCTGTTCATTAAGTGTGTTTGTGGGGGGTGTGGGTCCACGTAGCCTGTGCATGGGAGAGAGCTGGAGAGAGTGAGCCCCAGGTGCTGATCCTCAGGACCCATCCACCCTGGGTTGTGAGACAGGTTTTCTCACCAGTCAGAATGGGCTGGCCGGCCAGTGAACCCCGGGAACCTCTCGTCTGCATTTCCCCAAGGCTGGAACTGTGAGGTGCACGCCACTGCATCTGGTCTTTTACTTGTTTTTAGAAACTGGAACTCAGGACTTCATGGCCGCACATGCAGCCCCCTGTCAACTGAGCATCATCCCAGCCCCTCCCGAGAATGTGTCATCTCTTGGTGTCAAGGGACACTGCTTTCTCTCTGTGACTCTAAAGGGTAAATGGTAGCCTTTTCAACTCAGTGCAGCGTTGATAATTTCAAGTATAACACAGCGAGAATGTGGGGCAACCTTGTGGTCTGACTATAAAAGTGGGAATCCGTGAAGAGAAACCAGAGCGGAGCCTGGTTAGAGCCATCGTCCTTCCTGTAAATAAGAGTGTGATCCAATGCTGAGAACCGGCCAATGGCTCACCTCCTCGCTACTGCTATTATGTGCCAGATGGAGCCCAAATAAGATCTGGCTTAGCCGCGTAATCTCTCGTTTACACGTTCCATTTAAAAGACAAAGGAGCGTTTTTGTTAAATATCACATTTGTATTTTCACTTACAAACTAAAGAGGAATTTGGCAGGCGCCCCTCCATGAACTTGAAGGGCTTGCTTTCTGGTCTGGCTCCTTATTGGATCCCAAGCTTAACTGCTTCCCCAGACGGTTCTGGATTGCAGTCTGAGTCAATCAATCCTCTGAATGGGAAAATGGGGCGTTCTTTCACTCCAGAGATGGAGAATAGCTCTTTAAATGGGGGAACATTTCATCGGCCATTTTTCAGTTACTTTTTTTTTTTTTTATCTTTCCGTATTTTTAAAATTAAAAAGCTACATATGATCCGGACCCTCAGTTGTTGGTCTGTGGCCTGCTGCCCTGCTGACGTGAGCAGTCTAAATATAGGAATGAGTGGATCGTTCACATCAGCCCTGAAATCATGCCTTCTTTCTATGGAAAGCACACGATGCGATTTAATTTCCTCATCTGCTGTTCTCTGAGACAGGGCTTCCAACAGGGCCGAACAATCCCGAAGCCAGTTCATCTCCCGCTTAAAGAGGGCTAATCAGAAGGGATTTGCAATATTGAAATCACGAAGAGGTCGTGATGATTGATTCTGCAATTCAGAAATGAAATCTTCCCCAAAGCCCCCGAATCTTTGAAGCGGCTCTGTTTTGAAATAACGGGAGAATGTTGCGTCACTTAGACATCTTGCTGATGTTGTGTGTGGATTTCCCAAGCTCTCAGAGTGAAAATGTGCTCCTACCAACAAAAAAATGAATGAATTACAAACGACAGCAAATGACATCAGAAAATTCTGGAAGGTTCGGGAATTCTCGGCGTTTAAAGGCAGGGCAATCTGCTCTATGAAAATAATATTTAAAATGGGTTTCCACACCAAAATTATTTTCATTGTTTCTTTACAGAAAAGACAAACATTATCCAGGAACTTTCCATAGCCTGTTGACACTGAATGCCAATTTCTGCTATTAATGTAGAAAGCGGTAATTAGGTTTTTTAAAATGATGACTCTGGTAATTATATATTTAAAATATGAATCCCGATGTTTAATTAGGTCATATGACTATAATATCAGCTTGCACAAGTAGCACATCAATTCCTAGCAGTTCAATGAAACACAGGCATAAAAGGCTGCTGTGATTGCGACATTTAAATAGGATAAACCATGATGCACAGCATTATTCTTTAAATATTTTAATGTCTACCAGTGTTATTGAGTAATGAAGTTTGTCATCATGGAGTATTCTTTGTAGATAATTACTCTGGTAGCAATGAACACACTGGGACATTCATGTTTTTCCTCCAGAAAGGCTTCCAAATTAAACTCTTAGCTTGATTCAAAGCATATATATGAAAGTGGTTTTTTATATGTTAGTATTCATCAGTATATAATTTTCTGAAATTAATTACATCACACTTTGTTGGGTAATTTTCATTTTCAGCCTGTATCACAAACCTGCATTTTGTTCGTTCTTATTTTTGCTTCTTCCTGTTTTTCATTTACAATCACTGAATCTCTTGGCTCACAATAAGTGTATATCTCATAAACGGCTTTCTATGAAGCCTGCATGTCTGTGCATAACACAGTTTCATTTTGCCATAGTTAGAATCAGGTTTTTTAAAGCTTTTTTTTTTAAATCATGTCTTCCTTCTGTAAACCACACTAATATTTAATAGCTTTATTTGTTGCAAACCCAGCAAAATGGCCTTTGGTCAGTGGCAGTGTTTTAGATGACTTCCTTCTAAAGACTGTGCTGCTGTTGTGAGAATGATTGAGAGTTGAATCCCTCAGTACTACATTCCTCTCCCCAGATTTGCTCTTTAAGATGTAAAAAAGAATCAATTAAACAGATTCTGCAGAGTTTGTGCAGGGCTGGTGACACAGCTCTTTTAAACACAAATGCCGAATGCCTTCTCACAGCGAAGTCACCATTTACACAGCCGAGAAGCGCGG